GGTTGCAATATAGGTATTATCAGCCTACAATGGTACTGTACCAAAGCATGGTTGCCATGGTGTCATCTAGGCAAGGTACTATAGTTGTTGTCAGCCAGTCAAAGTATTAAGGCATGGCTGACATGATGCCAACGCGACAGAGCGCCAAAATATAATTCTAACCAGTCAATTTATTGACAATATCATATGTTTCACTCCAACCCCCTTCTAAGGAACATATATGAGCAGAAGCCCCCACTTTTATGAAAAACTATAGTCAGGTCATAACTATTATATTATATTTTACTACCTGTATTTCTGGAAAGGATGCGAGAGACATTGCGCACACACGGTTATTTTATAAAGAAGTGCCTGTCTGTGCATTACTAACATAGCGACAGACCGATACAGCTGGAAGTTCCAGGGGATATTGATATTTTAGACACTTCCTTCTTGAAACCTCTGTTACGCACGGTGTCCTGCAGGAAATTCTACATAACAGTACCATTGTTGGGCAGATTTTGTTTTGATGCTCTAGTGTTCTTTCCCGTTTGCATCCATGTTTTACTTTGTTTGCGTGATATGTCAGCGCGTTAACGTACCAATCCGAGGAGATGACATTTTACCGAGTATTCTTGGAAATCCAACGCACTTCAGGATGTGTGTTATTTGGCGTTCTGTTAGTGATTATTTTAAAATTCCTTTATATATAGCCGATAACTAGCAAAATGAAACTTAGCACAAAGTTCTTTTATTGAAATGGAATCATGTACAAGGTTGTAATTTAAAAGATGTTACCAGAAGAAGCTATTTCCATTATTATAGGCTGCTAGCACAGTGGCACCTGTAGATCAGATACCATGTTAAAACTGTTGTATTAAAGCACACTTTAGACAAAATTCAGTTATTTGTTACGGACGGAGTGAAAACTTTAGAAGTTAGGCATGTCTCTTTAATCCTTTTAGATCAAAGTTAGTTGCATTTAGTTCGACTAGAGATCATTCAATAGAACATATAACGTACAACAATAACTCCAATGTCCTTTGAAATAGCCTTTGCATGAAAATTCGCTTTAACCTTCGATCCCACATAAACAATCACGATGATCAATCTTCATTATTGAAATTATGACCTTCACTTAAATCGACGTAGATTTTTTTACAGGGAGAGAGGCCAAGGGGAAGCTGTCATGAGCCTGAGTCTGTTTAGATTCGTAAAGAATAATAGGATATGTAAATCCCGCCATTTTTCTCTGCACCTCAAAAGACCCGACCCAGGTCTATAAAATATTTAACAGATTTGGTGTTACATCTGATCAGTGTATTTAAATCATTATTTTATTACTCACAGCAATTGCGTTTAGAGTATTAGACTACATTTTGCTGCGATGAATAATCGATTTAACCAAAAATCATTGTTGGTTTGCTAAAACTGATTTTCTTATCATTGGTGACTGTGTAATCTTTTAAATGTGTGGCGATTCACTCAGTGACTCAGACTGCTTAGACTCATGAGGCAACACACACTGTCGGTAGTAGCCCCGCCTCGTGAGGTTTTCATTTGAGCTTACTGTTCTCGTTATGTTTTCCTGCCTCATGGGATGTGAAGTTAAAGTAAATAGTGCCTCGTATGTCAACTCAACGCACACAATGTGCTAATGGTTCAGTCCTCGCGAGATTGGTCTCTAATCTCGAAAGTTGCAGTGGGCGCCCGCTTCAATTAACTTCGCTGTAAAAAAGGGAAAATAGTGACGGAGTTGGTTGGAGTTGGTTGTAGCTCGCTGTTCATCGACCTGATCACGCTTTGATAAAATCCATTTCTACTACCGCTCTACTCCTGCCTGTTTTAATTTCAAAGCGCTCTCCTTTTTTCACTTTATCAAAAGCACTTAAACTGAGATTGATGTAACGCGTTCTGTCCTTTAATGAGCCCTTGATCGTAGCTATCTTTATTTCGGGTGTCTAGCAGGCATCATGGATCATTCCAACTATGCCTCAACCAGTCTGATATACATGGATAGAAATTCTCTTTTATTCAACTTGTTTCATAACGCATTTCTGAATCTTGCAACGGAAGACCCTTGTGCCCGTCTCATTGTGTTTGTTAAACAAAACCACTATGTTTGTGCTGCACATCTAATTAATAAATAGCATCTAGAGCAAGCGTCTCCCGGAACTCGGGTCAGATCACTTACGCATTATATGGCAAGAGATAGAGACTCGAGGGACTTGTTCTGCCTTAATGGGCAATTCAGTGACATTTCATCGGTAGATAATGAAGTATTAGTGAACTTACATCGATTGTGACTGGCGCATGTACTGCCATTGCATCCAATCGTTAATGCCTACGTACTATTCGAGCTTAGCTGCTGGATTGTCAATGGTTGAGCTTTGATCACTGGCCATAGATACATGAGATAGAAGGCTTTTTAGATAACGCCACACGTCTCCTCAAAATAATGTCAGCAACCAGCTTAGCAGGGAGAAGCATGGTGTGGCCAAAGGCTAAGTTAATAAGTCACGTCGACAACTGTGCCATATTGTATCTTGAAGTCAATGGAGCTTAAATGTCAAGAAGAGGCCAATTTTCAAAATAAACCTTTTCAGCTTGTTCATTATATTTTCTTACATTAACACTTGACACTTTTTCCGTAACAGTTAGATACGTTTAAAATAGTTTAAACTATAAAGGCACAATTCTCGGAGCAGCGGCTATCATATATTATTTGCCAATTCCATTGGATTTCTCTTTTCATATTCCATGGGTTAAGATTATATAATAATTATAATTGTAATTTTCAAGATTTTGGTGGTCAACTTTTTACACACCGATTTATGAATAATGCATACACAAAGCATATTAAGTGCATGCAAAATTCATATCAAAGTGTCACTGCCATATTGTTGATATTATGCAACATGCAAATTTTGAAAAATGCAAATCAATTCATTACCAAAACAAAAAGTACGAGCAGTTATGTCAAACGCCAAAGAGTACTTTATCTTTTGTTTTCAGTGCAAATTGAAAACATGGAATATTAATCGTAAAACCAATCTGAATACGGACCCATCATGATTTGTCTATCCGCCATTGCTCGGCTACAGACCTCTTTTGCATTACTATTATAATATAGCTTGGCGGCGTTTTCGTGTCTCTTCATGTATAGCTGCGTAACTAACGCTCAACACCACTTTATCACTTAAGAGGAGACGTGCGGTTATCTGAAACATTAGTGAATGCATCTACATGCATTTGGTGGTATAGAACAGCTTTAAATGTCCCTAAGTACCATTCTGATTCCAAGTAATGACGGGAAAAGTGTAACGTGAAATGTTTCTTAGAATAGGCAAGTTGCAATACATCCATCAAATGAAGCTGTGATAATCGAGATCATGACAGAGCGTATTTGATTTTCAGATTTTTTTCATAGGTGAAATAAACAAACATCGGAACAACCTATTAGAATTAAAAACAAAAAGTGAATAAAGTAAACGAAGAAAAGCTATGGAATTAAAAGTCAAATTATCAATAGTAAATGAATTGCTTATTGTAATACATCACTTTTCATTCATTGATTTTTATACAGTGTCATGTTATGAATGTAACTATTTACCCATGTGGCATAAAGTGGCATAAAGTGATGTGTATAACAGGACTTGTAAATGGAGAGAGTTCTTACATGGCGCTGAATCCTATTTTTGCCATATCTTTAACCTCGTTATCCGGACAGAATCTACTAGATATTCATTCAAAATAGCAATAAACCATTTATTACGATTTCGACTCTTGGTGTTTGCAAGAGGAGAACGATTCAACCGATACCAGGTGGAGTCTAAGACTGGGTTCCCATACCTATATCCATCTAACAGGATCGATCCATCTCCGGTGGGTTTCTCGCTAAATTGCTTTCAGCTTAAGCGGCTTAGATGTTTGGCACGCCTACTGAAGCTGCTTAACGATAATTAATTACCCCCTAGCAACTTCAGTATGCGCGACAGACATCTAAGCCGCTTAAGTCGCAATATAGCGAGATTCCCCTCGGAGATAGTGCGAAAGGGTTTGGGAATCGTCCCTCAAGTCTCCCTTTGAAAAGTGAACTTGGTGATTCAATTCAACGTCCATAAGAGCCCACTCCACATGCACCGCGCTTATCAGTGAACCAATACCGTTCTTTGACATATGTCACTGATATCCATTGAATGTTATATAAGACACATTTTATGGATAGCGAAACAACGTTTATATATCTATGCAGAAACACTTCGTCTACCTTTAAGGCGCTTTAATACCTCTAATAAAATTTTAATGGGAGGGACACAGTGTTCTGGTAGGGTTGGGAATGTAGGCGATATTGCACTTTTAAAACAACAGTCACGTTTCAGAGGATCTCGTCGGACTTGTCACCCATTCCGCGTTGGTACCAGTACATTAACATGGATCACTCACTGCAGTGGGTGGAATACGGCAACACTGGTTTTCATAGGACAGCGGTTGGAATTGTTTTATGGCAAAATCTTTTCCAGCTCTTCCAATGTGTAAAACCAAATATTATGTCTTATGACAACCCACATCGTATGACTCATTGTAATGGAGTTATATGTTATGTTCCTTTAAAGCACGCGAACACTATATGCAGTTTTCTTTAAAGTGGCTATTAAAATAGCATTAATATGATAACATCACGCGTATTAGGTTGCTTTCTAAAATGACAAATATACCTGCAGAACGCATTACATGTATATGTCTAGGCACGATTCTTGTTATTACTTGGAGCGAGCCCTTGAGAAATGCTGATGAATTAAGCTGTAACATTATCATGGTCTGTTTTTTCTTAGTAAAGCATGATTCGTGTGATCCCGAAAGAATGTATTTATAGTAACTTTGAGATTTATACTATAATGATTAAATTTTGATTAGTGCCTGTTGCACATTGTTTCAGCTGTGTTGCTCTCTTATTGCAGTTGTTGTGACTTTAAAATCACTTTTCATTTGCATTTTCTTTTCCATTCATTTTATTTCAGCATTGGACACCAATAATGTGATGGTGAAGAAGCAACTCTTTGAGCTTTTCAGCGCGTTATTCGTCTACTCAAAGGAAGGCTACGGCGTTGCCATGGACGCGCTCGAGTTTTACAGGGTAAGAAAGCGTTTTGAATGAAGGTTAAGATTGTCTGAATAAAGCAAATAACTAAAAAGGGATATGGCGAAATTATGAGTTTAGGTATTTATGGTGTCTTCCACATTACAATATCAACAAGCCTACAACGTTTCTTGTAAAAGGAGTTTTCGGTCTTTGAGTCCCCGAATTATGAGAAAAATCCTGCGTCTTTACTGATACTCCCTATTTTCACTCAAGTCCCTCCGTAAACAGCAGGTTGCTGTATTTTATCACTGCCAAGGAACATATTCCCTCAAGACCAATTTGCATATTTCCAGTAACGTGATTTCGGTTTTTCCGACACTCCTTGCTGCCCCCCTCACCCTTGTGCCGTCCTTGTGCTTCAGCACAGGTGGCTAAGGTCTTGACATTGATGTTTCGCCCTGCTTGCAACTTGCATTACCTACATGCATCTCTTTGTGCTGTGTAGTTTGCTTCCTGTCACATTTGCATGCTGGCAAAAGCAAAAGCTGCTGTCTCGGTAAAATGATTATACTGATTATATAGAAATGTCAAAAAATACTCACTTGAAGTGTTCATTAAGCACAGAGTAAAGTATTGTTTAAACGACAGTGTCATGCATATTTTACTGGCGTATCTAATACTGAAATCGGACCATCAGCCAACGTTAAAAAACTATTTTGTATTACGCTATTTACAACCTAATCATAGATTTGTTTTCTCTACAATTAGGTAGCGGTGAGTATAATACTTATCACTTTATTTAGAATTTTCCAATTCAATTCTGGCGCTATGATTGTATTATGCTGGGCTACTGCTGGCCGGGAAGCAGAGCTACTAGGTTCCCTTCTCCTCGCTAAGTCTGCACAATGTACAGTCAGCTTCTGAACCTTGGCTGAAGACGTGCGCTGTGACAATAATCACGGTCGTCTTTGATCCCATATCCATAGACACCATCGGCGTATGTGGATTGACCCAATTCTGTTGCACTCACGCTGACTGCAGTCAGCTTAATTGAATGACACGCCTCTTCAAGTAGAATACAGAAAAAATGTGATTTGGAACCAAATGGAGGCGCGTCATTCAGTTAAGCTGATTGCAATTAGCGAGAGTCCCCGCGGAGTTGGGTCGATCCACGTAGATTGATGGTGTCTGTGGGAATGGGGTCCAAGTTAAGGTTTTACGTGACAAATTTGCTAATTGTCCTCAAAACCAGGGGCATCTTTGTCTCCGCAAATGTCTATTTTACTGTGAATACCGTTCAGGTGCAAACCAGTTTATTTTTCTTCCACTAAAACGCCAAGGTGCAGAAACATAAGAATGATGTGGAATTCTGGCTCATGTTATAATACATTGATTTGCGGAGACAGAAACCCTAGTTTGATGGTTTGAGAGATGCTAGTTTGATCATGCGACCCCATTTTCTTCCCACAAACCACCGTCACATAATGTTAAGTACGAGAGAAAAAGGAGCACAGACGCTTTGATTAAATAAAAACACAAATATAGTGATTTAACGATTTTTGTATAAAACTGAACGTATAATCACACATGTACATCTATGCAGTTTTGTTGTTATCTCTGAGAAGGTCGCGGTAAGTATGTGATTTAGTATTTTAGAGTCACTTATATTTTCAGCGTATTTTTTAAGTTCAGCATTACTTTCTAATAGCTATTATTTTGTGTTGTGATGCTTCATTTTTGGAGACGCTTTTACGTCTGCTTCATTACACGCTTGGGGTTGTGAGTAAAGGGTCTTAAAGTTTGTAGGTTGTTAAACAACCTCGAGGATTCGGTCAGTTTACAGCATTTAAAAATTACAATGGAACCAATACCCGCGCAATGTTAGACCGTGCTAAGTCGCTTGCAATTCTGCTTTAATACGGTGCAACGGAAAGAGAAAGATGTTTTGAAGTCAATGTTCAGAGAAAGAGTTTAGTAGCAAATCCAAGCCAAAGCGTGTTTGATATATGTTATATAAAAAAATTGAGTATGAAAACCACTTTGCATGGTGCCTTATGAAGAACATTGAATAAAATGTCAAGGAAACGAAGAAGTTTCCCCTTACTTATGGACAGGTTAAATATCTGACCACTGCGGTACTTGTTTGAGACCAAACTCTTATCTCTGGTGGGAATAATTTGTTGTGGGAATACCAGATTTTTTAACATGCCATAGATGTCTGAGTTATGTCAAGCTATGTCAACCATGACTTTGGTTTTCCTACAGCTAAAACGAGAGTAGTCTGTCTCTTCAGCGACATTTCAATTTGGCTTTCAGTGTGGGCGTGAGTCTATGAACGGCTTTATGACGCGGGTCTATGAAATAGTCGCAATTGGTAAGGGTTCGCATGGGACACTTCAGACCTGTGTTGTAATATCCCAACCGGCCAATAACTCAGCAGTGAATTCAGGATGGGGATAAACTATCACTAGAACAAAAAACGTTCGATTCGTAGAGCTTTTCTCAGAAATTTTTATTACCGGAGGGAACATGTCGAACACACAGAAAAAAAAAGAGAAAAATGCTTAGAAAAAAATACTTTGGATCGTACATAGCAATATTCTATGCACTTATGAAAGTGTTGCTTATGGCTAGATATACCGTCGGTTTTTATATATACTGCCAAAATTCATATCACTGACTTTTTTACGTACTCTAGCATGGTGCAAGATATTGAATGTGATTGAATTCTGAAACATACAGTGACTGTAATTACATTAAGCATTTGAAAAACCGCCAAAGTTTTTTTTTGTGTATTTTTTCTTATTTTCTTTATTTCTGCATCTTTTATAAGTCGTCATCTTACGCATGCAGAAGATTTTCAAATATTTCACTGTGATATTCGTAAACGTCACTCCTCAGGAGACTCATGGAACTTCTTATTGCTTAGAGATAGCACAATATACGAATTCTCATTTTAGGTGGTGTAAGATACTTTCAAACGTTTTAGTTGCTTTGAATGTGTCCAAGAACTGTAGTGATAAAAGGATTCTAAATAAAACAGACACGTAACAGTCAATAATACGATTAAATACAAAACGTGATATCGGTCAGTGTCTACTGTTAATTGAGAGGTCAAAATGTATTAACCTATTTGTCTGAACTGGTTTATTACCCCAACATATTATACATAATAAAGTCTGTACCATTATCATTGCAGGCAGCCAAGAAGCAACGGTATCGTTTCAGCGTGATCATCTACGAGATGAAGAGGGCGGAGATCGTCCCGTATAAGGCCACTCTCCTCGCCTTGGTCAACTGTATCCTCGTGGCCACAGAAGACCTGGAGGAAAGAGTCAGAGTTAGAAATGAATTCATAGGTAAGTTTGCGGCCTCGCCAAAAATTTATATAAGTTTGTTGTCAATTCAAGAGGGACTGCTGGCAAGTGCCTTATTTTGAAATATTTACAAAATGGTGGGCCTATATTTTCGTGTTGTATGCAATGGCAAAGAAAGGGTAGTATTAATAGACGTAAAACATATAAATTATGTAATAGGACCTTAAATAGTTTGGCTTATTTTGACAGGACGCCTTATGTAACAAGTTTTTGTGCTACACATTTTGACATCCTTTACAGGCTTAGACTTGCTGGACATTATCCACGATTACGAGAACGAAGATGTGGAAGATCTACAGGTGCAGGTGGACGTTTTCAATGATGAAAAGCAAGCAGACGACGAGATCATGTCTGAAGAACATCCTGAAATGGACCTTGATAACCCACGCGAGGTGTTTGACGCTGTCTTTCAAAGGGTGAGTTCCTTTGCAGCCTTCAGCTTAAACTCCCACAATTAAAATTTGCCACGACCTTTGGGAAAAACTAAAATGCTGTGATGCCTTACTTGACATTTCTAGAACGCCTGTTTCTTTTATTTCTCTAATTGTTTGTCATGTGCCATTTGTACTCTCAATTGTGTATCAGTAATTGCATGTTGTCAACAAATTCGAAATGAAACTTGCTAAATTCAAAGATACACGCTATGTGGTAATAAGAAAAGCACTATTTACGTTGTATCAGGGTTCATCTTGATCACCATGTGCTCTGCCTCATATGCATAGCGTTGGCGGTCAGTCCCCTCCACATCTCTCTGCCTCTTGGTACATGAAGCTCTCAACTGAGTACACTGTATATCCCATCCACTTAGCACTGCTGTCCAGCATTTTTCTTTGTCTTTCTTCGATCCCTTTTCTTTCCAACTTCCCTGATGCATTTACCATTTTCTCTCTACTACATGAAGAGATCGTCGTAATATTCCCTAGAAAAGTGATTGAGTGATTTGTCTTTTTCTGGTCTTGTTGAAGAGGGTTCACTCGTTATTTAATTTACTTGATTAACTGTTTGATTTTGTCCATAGAACAAATAACGTCCTATGGATGTGCAGATTTCAGTAAAAGACGTATCTTCCAGGTGTGCAATAAACCCCAGGCTCAAGTCTTACTATCCATCCTTCAGAATTTCTTACAAATTGATGATGAAAACCAAGACAGGTTTGTTTGTTTCTATAGTGAAAAAGAGTATAAAAAACTGGAAAATAAACTGCTTAGATATATATTAATATGGTTTTAATTTTACCAGTATTTTGTTTGATTAGATCCTTGTCTTAACACAAATTTTGGGGGAAAGCATTTTCTTTCCAAACTACAAATATTGACGAAGACACACCGTCCATCCCATATATTTTCAGTGATATGGTTTGGCTTACTCTACAGCGCGTAGTACAGCGCGCCGTTTTAAATGACAGGCCAGAGTCAGCAGACAAAATACTCGACCACATTCTGGAAGAACAGAAGCTCCAAAGGAGTGGCAGTTTGGTGAGGAGCCCAACTGAGGACCACGCGGTGCAAACCGATCTCTATCTTCCTGTGATAGCCAATGGTGCTGTGACTACAACAGAGGACCGTAAGACTTTCCAGGAGCTTGTGGATAAAGTTGAAACTATATCTGTGAATGCCAGTCCAACGACCGTCAATATGCCAGGGGCGGTGAACGTGTTTCCAGGATGTAAAGTGGGTGGAACGGAGACCGCCGGTATGGCACCTACTTCGCCCAAACCAGCGGCAGGACAGACTCTCAGTCCCCCACCACCTCCTCCGCCGCCGCCGCCTGGCATAGGTGCTAGTGCAATACCACCTCCTCCACCCCCTCCCCCTCCCCCTCCTGGTTCTGCCATTCCACCCCCACCCCCGCCACCTCCTCCTCCACCTGGTTCTGGCATACCACCACCACCACCTCCTCCTC